CATTCAAACCATAATAACCTTCAAGTAACACAAACATCAACTCCTTCTCGAGCAACAGTTCACATGAAAACACAATTTCATATTTCCTCTACAAACTAACATTTATCATTCTCCTAAACACACACAATGATCTGACATTTTAAACATCACTTTCCAGATTATTCAACTGGTTTATTCCCTGAATTGAAGTACACCGCTCCTTCAAACTGGTTCAAAATTTAGTTTTCCAAAATATCTCTGCCACTTAAGATTAAAACAACTTTCCCTTTTCACACAATTTTATTGGATGTTTAAAGGTATTATGTTTTTATGTGCCTTATATGTAACCTGCAAAATATTATAATCAGCCGACTCCGATTCTTAATAATTTCAATTGATAAAAAAAAATTGATGGTAATTGAAAAGTTTAGTGRTGATTCTTATGGCTTTTTTCTGTAAAACAAAAATAGGATTTGTAATTGTTTTACAGGCTTCAGCCCAGATTTCAATACAATAAATCAAGTGTGGAACAATTATTGCATCATACAACATAAACAGAGCTTTATCGTTGAGTAGCTCTCTTACTTTCTTTGTACACTGCAAGAGGTTAAGATATTTTTATTCCCAAATTATTTATGTGAGGTTTCCAGGTCAGCTTTTCATCAATGATGAGATGACCCAAAAMCTTTACCTCACTCTACAAATTTCAACACCATCAACTCTATGTGTGCTTTAACACAACAGTGAACACTTTAAATAATAACAACAAGAAATAAAATGTACATTTTAACACACTTTCAGTTTCACAACAATAAATGCAATGTTTTTATTTGWGACTTTCTAGGGGACATGCATAAAACACTTTGGGCTATATTCAGTTATTGGAAAAACATTGTTTAGATTTAGTAATCTTTAATAACTTTTATGGTTGCTTCAATACAACAAAAGCTGTTTGTTTTGGCTGTTAAAAATTAACCAGATGTTTTGAATTTAAGATAAAATAAACATTTAGTCAAACAGCACCCAAATATCTATATTTTTTATTCAGAGTGCAGTCCATTTTTAAGGTCTGTAAATTATTATTATTTTTTTTATTATTGAAATACAATTTCTTTCAGGCATAAAAACTAGATTAAGGGGAAATTCATCCCTTTATTCCAGATTGTTTTGCCAAAGAAGAGTAAATTGAGTAAGTGTGGTGCAGTCTTAGGTGATGGGTGTGTTTCTGTGGGGTTTAAATGGTTTGTTTGTGCCTGTGTGGATTTTCTCCAGGTCCTCCACCTTCTTCCCACTGCTCAGATATTTTTTTTCTATAAACATATCTAACAGAACAAAACCCTGACTTAATTATAAAACTACACAACCAGTCAATCAGGTTAAGTATTTTCTGTCACCMTGTGATAAAAATCACAACTTTTAAAACCATAATTATTAGGGTTCTTCCTCAGCGAATCACAAATACCTCCAACATTCAGTTCAGCTGCTATAAAATCTTTATTTCCTAAAATCCAGGTTTTGTCGTCTTGCTGTAGTTTCAATCTGTGTTCAGTATCAACAGGATTAGATTKTATTTTTAGAATAAACACTAACATCTCAGGACATAAATCACAAAGGTCATATGTTAGTATAAATAAGTGCACTGGCTTTATGTCGCCTAGTTGTACAGGTCCACAGCAGCTGAAGTTTAAATGACCCTAAAAATAGCAAGAAAATAGCAGATGGCAGGTTGCTATGTTTAGTAATACAAACTTATTTTTGTCATGTATTTGAGGCCTAACATTCCTTGAAGGAATGCACATCGCCGCCCACTGCCTTTCCTTTCCTATCAGAGTGAAGATCATATTGCAAAATGACAAAGTTCTACTGACTTTGATTAAACCTTAAAAAAAAACTAAATTAAGCACAAGACGTCATACTCAAGGTATGAGTTGTCTGTGACACTCAGGTACTACCTCATCAAGTTTAAGCTCAGTATCTGTTAAACTGACTGAATTAGGGCCACTTTTGTGGTTTTTAATGTGATCCATGGCAGCCATCTTGCTTCTGGGTGACTYCAAAAGTTAATCAGTTGWAGATGAGCATCCCATAATTACATTTTGAAAGATTCATTAAAAATTTGACCAGTGGTTCAAAATATATTTTGCTAACAGACRRACACACCCAGGAATAAACATGGTAGGGCAATAAGGGTGACGTCAGGATTAAAATAAAACTTTTACTTTTTGCTGATTTCTGCCTTTTTTTAAATATAAACCAGTGACCTAACTGGTGAAGCTTCTGGGGGCCCCTTAGTTTTTGATGGCCCCTGATCTTCTCGTCCTCTCCCCAGTGGGCGGGGCGAGACGCGTGAGTCGGGCAGGCAGGCAGCTTGTGCGCATGCGTCCATGTGTGTAGTGTGTGGTGTGGCTGGGCAGGTCTTCATCAGTGTATGGGCTGATGTTGTAGCGACGAAAAGGAAGAATTCGATCAATTAAAACAAACGTTTCGGATCGAACTGATCGACGAATCAGGCGGCATCATGGGCAAAGTGCAGGGAGGGATGAAATGCGTGAAATATCTGCTGTTCGTCTTCAACTTCATCTTCTGGGTGAGTCCGCGCTCTTTGCTCGTATTTTACATTCACTCCGTTATTTTGCATCCTCATCATCTGTTTTTTTTTTTTTTTAATTTTACTGCAAAGCGAGGATCGCTGATGATGATTTGATTGGTCGGTTTTTGGAATGAAAATAATATTGTCAGAGCTGCTCCGCCTTGTTAAGATCTAATTTTAATTTTTATTGTTTTATTTTTATTATTGTTATAATTTCTGGAAACTCGAGCGCACAATTGAACAATTCAAAATCTCGATGAGCTCATCTTTGCACTGCTTCCTTTAATTAACCACTTCTGAACCATAATGATAC